CCAGGCTGCTGCGCGCACTCACCAATCAGTACGTCGCCTGAACCTCACCCTAATAAATTTTATTTACTATTTATTACTGTTTCATTATGGTCCATCTTCAGTCGTTACCACATATAACTACTTTATATCTCTTGTTTTAAATGTATATATCTAATGTTTTAAACTATGTTTTTGTAGTATTATGTATTATGACATTAGATTTATTCTGTAAAGATGATATATTTTTGTTATTAAAAAACAACTTGTTTAGTTAGGGAAAGCACAGCAGGACTCAAAACCAAGTCAGGATCATAATAGTAAGACCGAGGACTAATTTTCTGCACTGCAATTATTTCAGTGCATTAGATCTGAAATCATTGTTGCTATAAGTTAATTCAGGATTTTGAAGATTTTGTTATTTTAGTAAACCATTGACAGTCAAAAATAAAACAACAGACTCCAACTATTGACGTTTATTCAACAATTATATAACAAAGAGCAGAGGCGTATTTACATGGTAATGAAGTTAAGTTAAAGTTATCTTAAAATTACTATCTGAGAATTAAATTAATGTACAATCGATAAATAAATAATATAATGTGAGGAGGAGGTAAACTGTGCATTACAATGACATATCTTTGAAGATACTACAATAAGTACAGTTAAAGTATACTGTTGAATAACTTAAAATAAACATTACGCCTCTGACTCCGATGTGGGATCATAAATGATGACAAAGATGCAGTAAAATACTTTTTAAACAAAAAGCAAATCACACATCTCTCCTACGTGTTGACCCACAAATAAATTTTCGTCCGGCGACATCTTGTAGTATTTTAAATAAGTTTTTAATGGAATGTTTTCTTAAGGAATAAATATTGACTGTATTGTAAAGTTAATAATATAAACAAAGTACAGCTAAATTACAATTCTAATACAAAAGATGAACATCTGAATAATGTATTGAATTTATTCCTATTGATATATCAAATAAATCAGAAACAAAACTATATAAAAATGGAGACTTGGGATGTGGGTCCTGTTAGCAACAATCATATATCTAGTTCAACAATCATACATCTTGCCCTACGAAGTGTTTCGCAACTTATGTTTAGATACGAATTGACGCATGCGCGTGCTTACACGACGAACTTCTCCAAAGCAAGCATTACAAGCGACGCCATCCCCGCCACCGCCGGCACCGTCACCAGCCACGCGAATATTATATTCCTGAAAAGAAAAAAATGAAGTCAAAATTCTTCAATCAAAGAACAATTTGTAAATGCTATCGATTATTTCTGACTGAAACCCACAGTGTCATTTTTCATTATACTTCATCTGTCAATCCGAGCCTTTTTTCACAAGGCTCCGTGGTCGCGCTATCCGCTTGGAGGTAAAAAATGCTTAGAGTATGTTTACATTTAATGTTAACAAAAACCTGAAGAGACTCCAATCAACCGCCTTCTCGGAGAAGTACCCGACGCAGACGACGGAGCCGACCTTGCAGTGTGTGGTAGAAACGGGCAGCCCCGCCTTGCTCGCCACCAGCACCGTCAGCGCCGCGCCCAGCTCGATTGTGAACCCCCTGATATTTACGTTTGAACAATTTCAGTCATATTATCAATCAATGTCCTAAATCAACAGAACTACGCATGATACATACGTATCGGCAGTGATGCTGGTGAGGTCCTCGCCCACGGTCTGTATGACGCGGCGGCCCCACACCCACAGCCCGATCGCGATGCCCACGCCCCCAAACACCAGGATAGCGAGTGGCGTCTCCGCGCGCGCGTGCGCCCCGCCCTCAGAGTACAGCAGCCACAGCGCCACCAGCGGACCTATCGCATTACTGCGCACACAACATCAATAACAACTGAAAGTGCTGATGATATCAATATCTTATAGATGTTGACTAAGTGATAGCGATACGACCTAGAAATAAAATTGAAAAAGAAGCAACGCTTGTTTATACCTGACATCGTTTCCTCCGTGAGCGAAAGCACCGAAGGTCGCGGTGAGCACTTGCAGGAAGGAGAAGAGGCGCAGCGTATCTGGCGGCGGGGGCGGGGGCGCGCGGCGCGGGCTGCCGGCGCGCAGCAGCGGCGCCGCGCTCGAGTTGGGCGTCAGCGCCGGCAGCGCCGTCTGCCCCACGCGCCCCTCGCGCCCCTCGCGCTCGACACTCCACGCGCTGCCCTCCGGACCCTACAAATATGTATGTTCACACGGTCTACTTATTACACGACACTAAACTTACAAGTTACCTACTAAAAAAACAAATACTTGATCAAACTTGTTCCTTCTTTGGTATTATCGTGTTTCCAATATACCAATACTCATTCTTAAATAAGCTGAACTTCTTTCTTTTAATCTTCCCTTAACATCGTCTGTCCTAAGCTTACTTAGAAATAAACAATAGACAAATGAATCAATGAATCATGAATTTTATCATTACCTTGTCGAGCCGAGGAGGCGGCGGTGGTGGTGACGAGGCGTTGGCTCTACTAGTCTCTCCCCTGGCTATAGTTTCGTTAGAATCCCCTAGGAAACCATTCCTGGAGCCGGAGCCGTAGCTCTCGCCCATGCCGGCGAGCTGCGAGGAGTCCAGACTCTTACAGACGCTCAGCGTCTCGTCGATGTACTTTAACGTATTGATTTGTGGATCTGCTTCTACTAACTGTAGTCTCGATTGGTTTGGAGGGCTCAGACTTCTGGAGAGAATGCTGCAGTCGTCCATGGTGGCCAGCAGGGCACGGTTCCTCGCGTTCATCTCTCGCACATCCATCGCATCTTTGTCGGCGTCGCTCAGTGTTACCATCTCCGCGCTCTCGGCGATCGCTTCGAGAAGTTTTCCTTCGTCTGAGAGCAAGGATGTAGGACGCTGCCCTATTCCGCTTTTATCTAAATGTGTCGGTGTGTTCGCTGGAGTTGTTTCTAAAATACACAATGTTACTTATAGTTTTTTGCAAAATACAATATTGTTGGTTCTAGTTGATTATTTCCGAGCTTTCATATTAATCTGCTTGTGTCCGGCTGCGAACAAATATTACTTAGCGCCCTAATTATAGTCGTAACCTTATTCTACTGAATAGCTCGTACTATAAAACTGAATTGTCCAAAGTAATAT